GTATCGGTTAACTTTTACGAGTATGAGTACACACACATTTTACAGTATCGGCCCCGATACCCGATAACAGTATCGGTATCGGTGCATCCCTAGAAAATGTATCAAATTCTTTATGCTGTTGCTGTCTCTGACTTCCTGACCTAATCGCCTGCTCTGTGCGGCTTAACTTTCTTTTAAAAACAGACTTGAGGCGACCCTGGAAGTCACGTCTGATGGAATCACAGCTGTGACCATGACGGGTTAACCTGCAAGGTAAGAAGACTAATCTGATTGTGTGTGTGCGCCACAGATAACAGCAACATTTAAAAAAGATGGTTACTGAAGGCTGTGATTAAATGTGTAAAATGTCTTTTAAATACACACACAGTAGTTACATGGACGCCTGTGCTGATTCTGACCGTTTCCTGGACGTTTTTCTTCGAGACAAGTTTTTTGTCCCGTTTCATCAACTACGATTATCCCTAATTGAAAATAAAGGAAGAGAATTCAAATAATTCTTAGACACTTCTACTTAAACAGTAACATGTTTGGTCATTAACTGCACACACACAAAGGTTTTCTAACTGTTAGGGGAAAAGTTTTTTTGCCCAAAGTTCAGTTCAGATGCATAAAATGTGGGATTTGACCCTGACGTCTGTGAGCCGCTTCACTCGAACACGAAGCTAAACGGTGAGTCTGGAGCGTCAGAAGTCGGAGTCGTCTGTCGCTGAGTTATCAGCTCCGGCGGAGACTTCAAAAGTCTGCAGGCGGCTTTCATTAGCCTTCTGCTCAGTCATCTTCTTCTTGTTGTGGTTTCTGATGTGCACGCTCAGACCCCGCTCAGTCATTTCGTAGATCTGACACTTGGCGCAGTAGTACGGCGACACCCCGACGTGCCGGAACTGGTCGGCGAGGTACGACACGAGCGTCTTGAAGCCTTTGTTGCAGATGTCACAGCGCGGGATAACACCTGGATGCTCCTTCTCCAGGTGCTTCTTCAGGCCCCACCTGGACCCTTTGAACCCCTTCTTCTCCTCCGTGCCGGCTTCCTCCTCGGCTGCGCAGAGGCGGCAGACGAACACGGCGTCCTGGTTGGCGTGGCGCCTCGTGTGCGCGTCCAGCTCGATCTGAGTGCGGAGCGACTGCTGGCAGGAGTTGCAGAAGAACGTCTTCTTCCCCTCCATGTGGTGCATCTGCTTTAAATGCACCGCCAGCCCAGACGCCCTCTTGAAAAACTTGCCGGGCGGCGGGCACATCGTGCACACCAGTTTCTTACCTGAGCCCGAGTTCATCTCCATCACGTCGCTGTAATCCTCTCCTAGCGCCAGCACGCTCTTATTGCTCACTGTGAACTCTTCGCTTTTGATCTCCTCTTCCTCGGTTACCAACCTCCTCTTCTGGCTCACCTGAGGTCGCAACCTCGCCGGTCTGGACGGCAGCAGAGCTCCGGGGTTCTCGCTGACCACCGGAGTTTTAACAATCGGCTCTTTCGCTGGGAGCGACCGATCTACGGACATCGTGAACTGGTAACTCTCCCCCTCCTCTTCAGGGTTTGAATACTCGATGACGTAGACGCCGTCATCGTCATCCTCTCCCACGACCTCGTCCTCCGCAGGCAGCGAGCACTCCACCTCGTAGAACACCTTCCCGTCGACGTGCGACTCCTCTTCAGCGATGTGAGTGTCGTCTATTCTCACGACTGTTATCTGGTCCATCCCGCCGGCGCCATCCCAGTTTTTGTTTCCGGCCATGACCGAGGATGATGATGCTTTTCCTGCACCTCCGCTTTGAACGGTCGACTGCTTGGAAGCCGTCTGAAAGGAGAAAAATTTATTAGATTAAAACTTCCCGCAGCAAACAGATAAAATACTACAGAATGAAGGCATAAAAAGTCTTTCTTAGATATATCAATAAATCAATACCATATACACAGTATTTCCTGACAGTAAATATTGGTTTGTGACTGGCGTCCTCGTTCTGCTCGGCGTGGCAGCTCATGAACCAATCCTCCACCTGCATCACATCCTGGTTAGAGAGCAGCTCCATCTCAAAGAGCAGAACAAGGACTAACATCACCCAAGACGGTGAAGTCAAAGTCAGTCTGACCACAGGATCAGAGTCTGGCAGTCACAGCAAAAGCGCTCTGATCAGCCTATTGTTGGAAAAACGGGAGACAGGAAGGGCCGATGCAAGTTCGTCAATAGTGAATCAACTTTCAAAATAAGAGCATATGGGAATATGTGATAGTGAACTGACTGAGATGCTGTCTGAAATTGATAAAACAATAAAAATAAATCTCAAAACACCACCTGAGTGGTGTGCTAGCTTGGAACATGCTGGACTCATAACAGATCATTTTGTGTGGAAGAATACTCCTATAATGTGTGAAAGGCCCCTTTTTATGAGAGCGCACTCAGAGCCTCAAGGACAAAGTCTGCCCTTGTGACACCCCTCATCTCTGACTCGGGGTTTATAGGTAAACTTTCTTCATCCCTCTGGGCAGCCCACCAAAGTCCACGTGTGAAAAACACTTAACATTTATTCATAAATACTAAATATTATTATAATTTTTATTTTTGTTTGGAGTGACCAGGATGGAAAGACTTAGAAATAAAAAGATCAGAAGGAGAAGAAGTTAGAGACACGAGCCTGAGGTGGTTTGGACATGTGCAAAGGAGGAGAAAGGATGTTGAAGATGGAGCTGCAAGGGAGGAGGAAAAGAGGAAGACCTCAGAGAAGAATCATGGATGTAGTGGAGGAGGACATGCAGGCAGTTGGTGACACAAAGGAAGATCCCAGGGATAGGGTGGGATGGAGCAGCTGAAAGATGAAGGTCTGCACGGTGATGGAGCTGAATTTGAGTAAAAGCAGTTCCACTCAGCAGGAAACATATTATTAATTAATGATTAATGAATATTAATATTACATGTCCAGGTATTTGTTCGTAGTTTTTATCTGTACATGCTTGTATGCTACTCATTCATTGATGCAGGTATGCATTAACATATAAATAGACAATAAACAAGAAAATTATTGTTCATAATACAATTATTATATTATTATATATTATATATAGTACAATAACTACTTGTATTATTTACAAAATTTGTAATTGTGTTTATTATGTCAAATAATCATTTGTGATTACAGTAAAATACTGATGGTATAACTGTCAGTATTTTACTATTTATTTATGTAACTGCTCTTGCCCATAATTCAAGCAATTGCCATTAAGACCATTTTTTCTATTGTAGTATTTTAATTTTCACATACATGTAGATTATATTAGCTAATATTATAATTTTTCATTATAATATTGTATTCCTTTTTTATAAGTGCACGTTTAAATGTTTATTTTGATCATTCCTGTTATAACAAGACTTCCATTCAAAATGTTCTGTTTTAAGTAGAAGTGAGACGTGAGCAGCGATACTTCACATTTTAACTAAACATTTTTCTCTAATAAATAATCCGCCACGACCTATTTTTCTGCTCAAGTCTTTTCTGTTTATTCTTTTAAATAACAGCAAGAATAGAGTCAACATTCAGCACGACCCTGCTGCCGAAGTCAGCCATCACAACCATTAGCTTAGCAACGAACAGCTAATCAGTAGATAGGGGCAGCTCTGAGGTTCAGATTTCTCCACTATGAACTAGTTGGCTCTTTAACATTAAAGGAAAAGAGTTGAACTGCATGCATAAATGTTCAGATACAGCTAATCGTTCACCTTTAGTCGATGCAGATGGTCAGATTTCCTGCAGAAAGCTAGCTGAGCCACAAAAAGAAAACACACAAAAAGACGTGTGTTTTCTTTCAGGACAAACTAACGAGCTGAAAACACTTGACAGAGCGCCCCCTGGAGCCCTGGATGTACTTTAAAAGTACCAGCAGTCAGCGAAAAACAGTTATAAAATACTGTACAACAGAACGATACTGTACGATAAGATACAAGATACCCCAGAAGGGACTCAGTTACTTGTAAACTAATAAATAAAGTCACATAAAATGAGCTTAATAAGTTAAAATGTCATAATAATAATAAATATAAAAAAAATAAACATTTGTAATTTAGTAAGGAGCTCGGGGTAAATTTAAAAATAAAAATTACATTAAAATGGAATAAAAATGAGTAAAGGAAACAACAGAATAGCCCTCAACATAAAAAAAATCAATAAAAAACTAAAAGAAGATTGGAAATAAAATACAATAAAATTTAATAAAATATCATTTAAAAAAATCATAATCTAATTCCTGAAGAAGCTCCACAGGTTAAGGTACATGTAAGAAAAATATTGAAATGTTTTTATAAAATAAAATAAAACATAATAATGTGAATATAAATCAATACATTAATAGCTGAAGAAAATAAAACAGCCACAATAAAAATGTTTTTTAACTGTATGATAATAATGTAAAAATTGAACATAAACAATAAGAATTACTACTACTACGGTACTTTTACATTTATTAGAGGTTAATTTCGTCACTGTTGCTTCTTTACTGAAAGAAGCGCTTTGTCTCTGTAACAATGCCCTGTTCCAATAAAGTACTGAGGTTTTGAATGTCCTGGTCTGCGCATGCGCCTTTCTGATCAGTGATTCGACGCTGAGTAGCTAGCATCTCGTCAGATCTGTGCTTTCTCTGCATTCGCTCACTTCTCGTGAACAGTTATTGTTTAACAGCTGGTCATTTCTACCGAGCGGAACTACCGTGACCGAGGCGTGAAAGAATATGCCCAAAAATAAAGGTAAGGTTAGCGGGAAGCCGTTCGTTAGCGACGTGTTTCAGTTGATTGTGTCCGAGCCCGCCGCGGACACACGCAGCTAAAACGTGACACCGACCGGCTGCTGCTAGTTAGCCCAGCGGAGCCTCGTTTACACGACCGTTAGCGTGGTATACGTGATGTTTACCCGCTCTGTTTGGTTCTATGCGGGTGTAACTGTGAATTTAGGAGAAATCTAATAAATTCTCCTTCTCCGTTAACGATTGAGCTAACCTGATTACTGGTGTAGTCTGCTGCTAACTATTACAGCTAACCAGCTAGCTTCTACCTAGTTACCCCACCTACCCCACCCGGGCTGGCCCGTAATATCCGCCTCCAATTTTCACCAATATTCAGCCTTTTAAAACACCAGAGTGTCTTTAAACTGGGTTCTAAACTATTCTCCAGATGGTATTGTAGCGTTTGGACGATGTTACGACCCTTAACATAAAGGTTAGCTCCTGTTTCTGTCCGGTTCCCCTTTCAGAGAGAAGCTCACACAGGCGTTGAAATTAATGCCATCTCTGCTGTGTACCACGATAAAAAGCCAGTTTGGATAACTGAAATTGAACCATTCACGTGTACTTAAAACAAGATGTCAGTGTTGTCTTGTTTAGCAGAAGTTTCTGGTGTTTCTAGTCATTTTTGTTCTGTTGCTAAACAAAAAGCTGCCTTTGGCTTGAGTGGAGTTAAATTTAATCAAGCTTATCTCATGAAATCTTAGTATCGGTGTTTTTGGTTGATTGCTTATGGCGCCAAAATTATTTATATGTACGTTTAAAAAAAACAAAACGGTGAAATTGACACAAACCACTAATGTATTTCTGCTTGTTTCTGTTTACAGGTAAAGGAGGTAAAAATCGGCGACGTGGAAAGAACGAAAATGAGTCTGAGAAGAGGGAGCTGGTGTTCAAGGAGGATGGACAGGGTAAGTCTGGGTTCAGTTTATTCTGTTTGTGGGTTAGAAGAGTTGCCTTCACCTCCGAGCTAAGCAAGTATGCAAGTATTGCTTGCACAATATAATGCTGTTCACAGAAAGGAGTGCCTTACAGAAAATTGTCAGGTAAACAAAACACTGACGTTATAGCACTGAATTTACATGTTCAAAAAGGAGTAGGACGAAGTATAAACTTATTCATAAGGTCTAGGATTAAGCGTCACTGCATGTCCTTAACAAACAGTAATTTAGTGTGTTTGATGTGAGTGGGATGAAGAGGGAACTATTAAGGTTTTAAAGTATGTCTCAGTTAAAATACAGTATTTCTTCTTATTATGGGAAAATAAAATTGAGTTACACAAAGGAGAGTGATGAGTAAAATACAAAATAAAATGCAATAAAGGTAAAAAAAAAAATTAAACCTTTTAAATGAATGGAACAAAGTGCTGTTTAAAAAGCTGCATATTATTGGATAAGTTGGGTCTGTAGAGTGAGCTCGGTAAATTCAATAAAACAGAATAAAAAGTGCCTCCTTAAATCAAACGCATCAAATACTAAAAGTGTAGTGGTCAGTGTATGAAGAAGAAAAGAGTTATTTAAATAGTAATAATAAAAGTTTGTTCTAGTGTTAGTTTAATGTATCAGCTGTTAAACTCAGTTTTACGGGGTTTTTTTTCTTTTTTTTTTTTTTTTTTTTTTTTTCTTTTTTTTTGGCTTTTGCAATTAAAATTGTTTTCATTACTTTGAGTTCAAATTGAGGCCTTGTTTTAAATTTTTAAATGCTTTGGGAGACCTGAATATCATCTAAACGTTCAGAAAGTAACAGGATGAGTACAAAAAGACAAAAATAAATTTAAGGAGGAAAAAAAATCCCGATTGTTGTAAGTTGGGCACAGTTTTAAGAACTGTAAGAGAGTGTCATAGCTCATCGTTCATGTTAGAACTACTTAGATCTCTAAGATTGAAATGTAATTTTTCAGTCTAATCTAATCAGTTTTATCCAAACAAAAACATGCTTGACGTTTTCAGTCCTGTGCTTGCATATGTGACAATTATTTGATGGTAAATCAAATATTTGCTTAAAAAATGTCTCGTTAAGCTGTGAGGATTTAAAATATCAGCTGTAGTTGATGAACACACCAGCTCCCCAGCCTGCAGGTGTCATTTAATTCATATCAATTTAATTTTGTTTGTATAGCACGAGTTCACACCAACAGTTGCCTCAAGGCGCTTTAAGGTAAAGACCCCACAGCATTAGAAAGAAACCCCAACTTTTACATGACCTACTATAAACAAACATTTGGTGACAGTGGGAAGGAAAAACTCCCTTTTAACAGAAGGAAAGGATTTAAGAGCAGTGATGTTTAGAGCGCTGGATGACTGAGGGGTTTGCTGGCTTTACTGTCAGGATCCAGCTGGAGCTGCTCAAAAATGCACTGCTCAAATCCAGATGTAACAACCTTCTGAGGAGCAGGTTTAAAAACAAATTAAAATTTAAAGTTAAATATTGCAATCACAGGATGATCCATCTCTTTGTCATTATGCCATTCACAAATATTTATGGCTGGATCCACTCCCAACAGCCTCGGTGCACGTGTCACTGATCCTACCAGACCTGGATCAGAGAATCAGGGACCTCCTGGACAGTCTGGTGCTATTTGGAAACATGGGTACAGAACACTTCAGAGGTTCTGGGGAAGGTGTGCGTCAGTTCTGCCTTCATCATTCAAGAACTGTTCTGTACCAGGAAGAACCCAAATCACCAGGATAGGATCGCAGACAAAGCAGTCATTCTGGGATATGTTTCAGGCGTCAGACTGTCACGTCTGTCACATGTGCTCAGTGTGAACAGTTTGTTCAGAAACATGCACACGAGTAACCTGCAAAGCAGCACATTCTGTTCCTGCTGCTCGGCTGCTGTTATCTACAGCTTTGTCTAGCTCTCCTCCTGCTGGTGTCCACTCCAAATCTTGGCACTCTGCTGGGAGACTCGGCAAACTTTCCTGTGACCGCAGGCATGGAGATCCTGAAGGATCTGGACTGCACGGGCAACCATCAGTAACCGGGACACTAACAAAAAGCAAAACTAGAGAAAAATTAGTCAGAAAGGAGGAAGAGCGAGCAGTCTGTGGGCACCACCTGCTATTCCCTTTGTGGGGGTTGTGTTGTTGTCTCATCCAGTGCATCTGTCACTTTCATTTGCACCAAGGCAGCTGAAATAGATTCATAATGGTTTATTCCTCCTATTCTGAACAGTGTACGAGCCCTTTATTACAGGCGAGTATATCACGGGTTGATTTAAGCTTGCTTTGCTCTCTCGTGTGTCTCAGAATACGCTCAGGTGATTAAAATGTTGGGGAACGGACGTCTGGAGGCGATGTGCTTCGATGGAACCAAGCGGCTTTGCCACATCAGAGGAAAACTCCGGAAAAAGGTAGGAATGAGCTGAGCACCTTCTGTCGCCTTCTCCCACCATCACACACAGAGGAAACTCTGTGGTGTGACGCCGCGTCAGCATTTTCTCAGGCAGCCGCCGTCAGCGTGTGCGCGGGTCACAAAGTGCAGCGTGACCCTGTGCGACTCATCCCTGCTTTGTTTTGTTTTCCTCCAGGTCTGGATTAACACGTCGGACATCATCCTGGTCGGGCTGAGGGATTATCAGGTGTGTTGGTCGCTCACACAGGCTTCAGATCAGACCACTAATACTGTGTCAGTCACTGAGAGGGCACCGTGAAGCTTTAGCAGCCTGAATTACTTTTCCTAAACTTATCTGTGTTTTATCAGTAGAGATGTTGATGTTTATGTTGGCCACAAATAACAGAAAACTGCTCGCAGTCGTGTTTACATGGAGAGTCCTACTTACGGGGCTCTGTAGGGGGGCTTAGTTAAAACTTCTCAAGTTACTGTGATCAGTAACACAAACTTCAACCCCAACTTCTGTTCCAGGACAACAAAGCTGACGTCATCCTTAAGTACAACGCAGACGAGGCTCGCAGTTTGAAAGCGTACGGAGAGCTGCCAGAGCACGGTGAGTTACGCTGCATGTGTCACATTAATGAGGCGGTTTTTTAAAAGCTTGCTGTGTTAATGTTACTGCAGCTGCTTGTCTGGTGTCTCCACAAACATTAATGTGTCAGACTTGTAGGTGAAGTCGTATTCTGTTTACTTGCAAATCCAAGGTGGAAAATAGTTGCAGGTTTTGATCAGCAGAGGGCGTCATTGCACATCACAGACATACTGAATTTTAGGACTGAGCAAAGTAGCCGCACCGTGGTGATGACCCGACCAACTGCAGGAAAACAATAGAGGAAGCGTTAGGGCTACCCGGTTAGCCATGCATGAACTTTCAAAATAAAAGTTCAAGGTTTCTCTACTAATAAATCACGTGCAAGGTGGAGAAGTGGTGACTCATTTCCAAACTGCTCCCTGATGGTGATGGTGATCATTCAGAGCATCTATAACTGCACAGTCCGACCCTGTGGCGTGATCAGATTCACTCTGGGGTCGGCGTGAGTACTCGTGAGATTTTTCTGATGCATTTTCTGTTTCATCTGCAGCCAAAATCAACGAGACAGACACATTTGGACCTGGAGACGATGATGAGATTCAGTTCGATGACATTGCAGATGATGATGAGGACATTGATGATGTAAGTTGGCGTAATCGAACAATATTTTTTTATATATTGTAAGTACCTGAATTTAATTCTTCACAGGAGTGGATTATAATCCCAAAAGTAGTCTTGAAGCCAGTACAACACCTTGAATTAAATATAAAGAACTAGCAGCATAATTTTACTTTCTTTTTTTAGTTCTAAATCTCCATCAGTGACCTTATTTTCTGAGACACAGTGGAGCCAAAAATGATCAGCAAATATCAGTATTTGGTCAACTGGTTAACAATGAAAGTCATTTCTGATCCCGACGTGATAAAACCTGCGTCTCCTGTGAGAGTTAACTGAAAGTCGGGATGTTTTTAAAGGAGAAAAGTGGATGTCGAGGTGTCAGAAGCACATCACAGGTGAAGCAGTTATCAGTGAGGAGAGAATTTGAGAATAAAGCTTTAGCTGCACAATTAAAGCTGCTGCGTTAACTTAGAAGTTTCCTGCTTTGCTTGCTCTTAAACAAGTTTGGTCTTGGAGCTTGTGTCATCAAAAAAGTTGTGGTGGTCACATTTTATTGCATTTCATAGACAAAAAGCTTATAAATCATAATTGGTCTTATTTAAGTTCATTTCTGACTTAAAACAAGAAAAAAAAAGAGGAGATGTGAGGAGACAGTTTAGCTGAGCGAGCCTGGGCGTAAACTTGTTTTTAAGTGACTTTGGAGTCTTGCACCTTCTTATAGCCTTATATTGGCTTTTTTCAAATGCGTTGTAGATTAATGCATTTGAGAGATTTTATAGATATTTGATGATCCTCACCATCTTTAACCCCCAACATAATATAAACTGTAGAAGTAGTTTGTTTGGTCCAAATATGGTGGATAACCAAACAACTGTGTGCACGCTGGGATCAGATTGTGCAGAACAAACTCAAATGTTTCCTCTTCCTCTTCGCAGATCTAAAATCCTGCCACTGGAGGGAGAAGGTGGGATTTCGTTAGAGATGCTCCGATTGGGATCTTTCGAGCCGAACACAGTGCACCGAAAATAATTATTTTTATTAAGATCAGCCTATGCCAGTCCAATACAGTTTATTAATATACAGTATGTTTAATCCAGCTTGTTTATCATCAGTAGACATCTTTGTTGTTTGGAGAACTTTAAGTGCATTTCACACGGGGGGAGATCACCATCAGTACTTTGATTTATTAGACGCTGCTTTAGAGACTGTCTCAGTTATCAGACGGAGACCACTGAGGAGGATGATTACGAAGATGATGATGACGCCGACAGTTTGCTTTTCCCACCTTTGTGGAGAATCTGAGCTGATCGACTGCATCATACGTGTAAGGTGAACATCTGGAGCATTTCTAGATTTTTACCTTTTGCTTCCAGCTGCAACAGAAAAAGGCAAATCTGCCATCTCAGTTTTGTTTTTTTCCTCCTTAATTTTACACACAGCTGCACAGAAAACACACTCATTGTCTCATGACTGCAAAATATCTCACACCTAGTGCATGTCATCTTTTAAAAATGTATTTATATTCATTTCACACTGTGGAATTTACAAACGAGTACAGAATCTCTGGATTCGCCAATAAAAACATTAACTAGTTTGTGTTTTTCCTCCTTGATCGTTGTTTGTTGATGGCAGAAAGAATGCGGTGACCTCCACGGTGGCTTTTTGCTCCCTTTCCTTTACGCCCTGCCTGCTCACATGAGCTCGTATTTTTAGTTTACACCCAGGCTGAATGAAGGCAATCCTGCTCCCCTAAAATCAAAAGAAGACTCAGATGTATTTCTCTGTTTACTTCCCTCATTTGTCTTTCTGTTGTTGTTTCTTTGTCCTCTTTTTGAACTCTTTGCTGCTCGCAATTCCGGTCGCTAGACCAGCGGTTCCCAAACGTTCCCCTTGCAGACATCCCCACCAGTTAAACCAGTAAAACCTCACAGCACAGCCATTTATCATCGCATAGAACCTCTAGAAAAATCAGTGATTTATATCTGCAGCATATTATATCTATTTCCCCTCCGAGGAGGCCCAGCACCTCAGTTTGGGAACCACTGCTCTAGCTGACGTGGGGCCTGTTGCTGTTGTAACTGAATTAATAAAAAAGTAAAATGTACTATGATGTTTGAAGGCTGGGTTTCCAATAAAGATCTTAACTCCACTGACCTGGCATCGTGGTTTTTGGGCGCCTAACGCACTTCCTGTGCCGGTCTGATGGTGGCAGCAGGACAGATAAACTGACCTTAAGCTGAGGACATTCGGGGCTGCAGGGAACAAACTGGTATTTTTGTCCTTACAGTGTGGAGGGGCTGTGCAGGAAGTGACGACCTGCTGTGGTGAATCCTTCAGCCTCAGGCTCACAGTGTGCCTGCTCTTTGTCTCCAAATGGTTTTATTTAAAGTTGACCAGTCCTCCTGTCCCTTATTTAAGTTCTTATTTCATATTATTTCTACTCTTAAATGTTTACGTTGGGGAGAACAAAGACCAAGGAAAGAAGCTCAGTAATGCAGGCTTTTTCTGGCATACCTAACAAAGTAGGATATGCTGTCTGTCTAATTAAAGTATGTATCCAGAGTTTATCAAGATATGGATGTAAGCAGAAATGTTAAACTTATTTATGACAGAACTGCAACATTGTATATAAAATGTTTCTGAGCTATTGCAGCACATCTGTAGTTGTAAATGTATCTTTAAGAGGTCATTACAAACCTAAGATTTTGTTTTCGCCTTTCAACCTAAAAGCTGAGCAAATATTTGTCTTATAAGTGATTTATAACACCAGTAGTTATAGTTCCAGCTTATAGCGCTTGCATAAACAATACCTAATCAGATCAGAATCCTTGGTATCTGTTTATACTGTATTTGTACTCTGTGTGTTTGTGTCTTGTGTCCTGCAGGTTTTTCATATAGGTCCATTATTACCACATTATTGGGTTTATGTAATATGATATCATTTGAATGCACACCGAAGCGGATTTTGACCGTTTTTAAGACATCGGCTGGTTTAGTTCGTTGAATTTCTGCAATTATCACACAAAAACATCTGTATCTGAGAGGCTGTTATCCACACGTTTATTTTTTCTTTGTGATTTATTTAAAAATCTCATTGTTGTTATTTATAGCGCTGCCATCTGAGGCGACTCAGTAAGCGTGTGTGTGTTTTGATCTGAAAACAGCAGCACTGACCCACATTTACAGCAGCCATCCTCACGGTTTGCCGTTATCTATGACGTAACTGCATCGCTGGGGCCGGCACGTGCGGCCTGTCACGAGCCAATTTCAGCTAGTTTTACTGCCACGTGAGGAAGAGAGTGTCCTTTTGTGACGACAAACGGATTTAATCTGAAAAGTTACAAAAATGAAAGTAAGTGACATAAACATGCTGTAAAGCTGCTTTACAGTGATTTATTCTTCCGCCAAGCTGCTTTTATAGTTCTGGGTAAGCGACAGTGCCGCTACCTGGTTGCTAAGCGACGCATAACAGCGCGAGTGGGCGCATTAATATGTAAATTAGCCAAATGTAAAGCGGTCACAGGTTCGTGTTTCCGTTTTAAAGCAAAAAGCTGGAAAAATGTAATATTATTTTTTTACTACACGTTAAATACTTTTATAGTATCACAAAGAGCAATGTTTAATCTTTTTATTTCATTCCAGTATTTTTATTTTTATTTTATGAAGTAGTCCCGACCTTTCGTTGAAGCTACCCTTGTATTTGAAGCTTTAAATATGGCTACATTGGCGGTATCGGTTCTTGTTCATCTGAGAGAAGTATATACGAGGACTGACATGAAGATTACGTTTTATAGCATCGAATAGAAATCCACTCTTGCTCCCCTCCCCTCCCTGTGCCTCCTAGCATCCTCCTAGACTCCTCCTGAGTCACTGTGTCGGACCGGCGCTCTCCTGTGAGGGTCTTAACGTCTTTCTGGCTCTTGTCACGTCCCTCTACTGGAAAACACTCGATGACCCAGGTGGCTCTAGGTCCAGCTGACATGACAGGTGAGAAAAATATACGCTCCTATTTATGAATCTTATATTAAATGTGTAGTATTGGTTGGGTAATCTTCCTACGCTCAGAAACGCCCATGGACAAACATTAACCCACAACCATTAACCTGGATAGGACTGAGTCACGCTGCATTTTCATTTAAAGACCTTTAAAGAGTCATGCGTTACATCCGCATATAGTGAAGAATTACTTTAGATATGAAACACTTTTTC